CCCTGAGGTACTAATTCCGCCCGGCTATTTACACCCGGGGAAACGAAAGCATTAGCGAAGTCTAAAGTTCATCAATGATCGCGGGCGTCGGTCACCAACGAAGTTTCGGTGGGTGGTCATCCTCACTGATATTATAATATAGCGGACTGTCATGAATAGCCAACACTGATAGGTCCAATTTAAAATTTGCATTCTAACGACTGCACGGCGACAGCGAAATAGTAAACATTTCTTGATTTGATGATTTCTCGCAAATATATTTTATTTTTGCAAGATTTTGTAATTCAAAAACTTTTTGATAAAATAAAGGCGAAAGAATTGCTAAAAGAAGGGATAGTAGAAGCGCCAACGTTAACGAAGGTAAGTTTGTATTAAATATTGATGCATTGTTTGCTTTTAATATACTGTAATTTATACTTCAAAAGCCGATCGTTGCCAGGTTGTGCATAAATATGAAACAAGACAGCATATTATTTCAGTGTTTCTTTATTGATTACCCTTTTTGTTATAATAAGCAAAGTCATTTGCATGCGAGAATTTGGAATCATTTTATTTCGAACTCAAAGTTTATAGATACAGGCTGTTTAGACTTTAGTTCTATATAAACACTATATTAATTTAAAAGAGCACTTTAATTAAAACGTTTTGCGAAGCGTTTCTGGCTGAATTTTACCTTAAATTGAAGCTTGTATTACGTATAATAACATATCGAACATATATATGTTTGGGAAATTGATAATTTTGTAATGAAAAGTGATATTTTAAGGGAATTTTTCATTTGTAAAAATATTCTTAAAAAATTATCGTGTTACCATGACAACTACTTTAAATACTTCACGTTCGAAAAATACAATGGTTTTCTCAGCAAGGCGAAGGTTTCTGCATTCATGTATTTTATATAACTTATAACTATATAACTTAACTGCACTGCACAAAACCTATTTAGTTGGATAGTTAACTTTAAATAAACAGATTTTAATAATAAAGATATTACAATTGGCCAAGAGCTATTAGCTCATCAAGGGGCTCTTGTTCTATTTACAGGAATTTTGTGTCAAGTAGGTGGTAAATATATTATGTCAATTTAAATTTTTTTGAAAAGTTGGAGTAATAAACAAGAGGAGGAAAAAGAGAGAAAAAATGAATTAAGATGTATAGGGAAGACTTTCACTGGACTATTAAGTAATTACAAAACGTTTGGAATTAATTATAAAGTCTTGTACTGCTAAGAATAAAGTTCTATTTGAGTGAAAGTCAACTTCATTACATCCATATAGCAAGTAATTAAGTTTAACATTAATTATCATTAGCTGTAGTCCAGTGGTAGTTAAGACAGTCTGCAGCCGAAGTAAGCAGTTGAGCGAGATTGGCCTGGAAGCGCGAACAATCCAACAAGTAATGTTTACATGTCTCTCGGCAGTAGCCGCACGCACAGGCAGGAGAAGAAATACAATTATGTCGAAAGAGATCGTAATTAAAAGAGCTATTGTGTGATCGTAATCTTGTGTGCAGGATAGAAGCATATCTTGAGCCAACTTCAAAGAGTATTTTCTTTCTACCGCTCAAGAATAATCGACCTACATTTGATTTGAAGTTGCCTAAGGAAGGAGAGTTTCTAATATCGACAGGAAGAGAATTCCATGCACAAATAGCAGAAGGTAAAAATGATTTTTGAAACCTTGATGTTGAAAAAGACATCAGCGAAACATCTTCACCGTTGCGAAGGGAATAAGTAGTTCTGTTAGAGACTGGGCAAGGTATTAAGGATGAGAGATAATTAGGTACTAAATTGTTCATCATTTTGTAAAATATAGAAATCTTGTGAATATGCCGTCTAGATTTCAAGGAATCCCAACAAAAGTCGTCTAGCAAGGATTGCCAATTAGTACCCTTTATAGCTCCCGTTGCTAAACGAGCAGCCTCATACTGTATATTCTCAAGAGCATTAGTATAGATTCAATTGAACAACCATCCCGAATGAAATCTGCGTATTCCATAATCGGTCTTACTAAGGTGAGATACATGGTGTTCAATGTAGATCTTTTCAGTTTGAACTTCAAGCCTTTCATTTAATCTTTTTTATGCTTTTTCATAAATTGTGTTTATATGCATAAACAACGTTAAATCATTTGATAAAATTGTACCCAAATGACAGTGAGAAGTAACGTCTGGGATAATTTCATTATTAAGAATAAGTGGAGGATGAGGTTTTTTTTCGTTTTTAACTGAAAATACCATAGACCGAGTTTTGGAAGCATTCATTATCACATCCCATTTATTCGACCAGTTGGCCACAGAGACAAGGTCAGCATTCAGTTTTATAGCAGATTCAACAGCTGACGCGACTATATCTATCAACAAAGAATCGTCTGCATATAGGAAAGTCTCCGATTGAATGTCGTTGACCATGTCATTAATATAAACTAAAAATAGCGAGGGACCAAGAACACTTCAACAGCATTAGTTACAGCATGCGTTAGGGAACGATTACAAAAGTTATCTGAAATTTCTGGGACAGGATTGCTAGAACTTAAAGTTGATTGGGTAACAAAGTAGTTGTTAAATAGCTCGGCTTTTTTTAATAGTCGGAAATAAAAATACCCCCTTCTTTAATTAATGGAAATTGAGAAAAATGCCTTGGCACCGTACACAGTTTTTACAACTTTCCACCAATTCTTAGTGTTTAATTTGGGATCACTAAATGTGGAATTTAATTTGTTAAAATACAAAAGCTTCTCTTTTCGTACAATTCCAACAGTAAGATTTCTTTGAGATTTATATTCGTTCCAGTCAGTTAAAATTTTGTTAACCGAAAGTTACGTAGGAATCTATCACGTTTACGCATTGCAGTTCTAATTGTACTGGTCATCCATGCATGGCTTATCACGCGGGCGGATAATGATTTCCCTAAAAGGAATATATCCATTACAATAGATCATAGACATCTTATATACACTAGATAGTGCATCTAATTATTCTGCAATTCAAAAATTGAAGCTGTGATTGCAGTCTCAGGTCGTTCCCATGAAATGAGGAGATTCGTATATTTTCTATTTCTTAAACAGGGAACTTAAACATTAGGTTAACCCTATTCCAAATACGTTTTTAAACTATTCAAATGATGAAAGTTATTGTTGGTTTTAAGCGTTTATTAGCAAGTGGGAACGACCAACATGGCCGCCATCTATTCAAATGGATGTAACCGCTGGATTATTCTTGGCTTCAATTTTACTAAAAGAGATGCGCTATCTAGTGTATATAAGATATCTATGCAATAGATGTAAATTTAGTAAACCATTCATAGTATAGGGAATTAATATCAGCAAAATTGTTAAATAAATCGCTCCAATTCTCTGTGTAAAGAGAATTATTTAACATACTATCATGGACTGAATTAAAATTCCAAACATACCTTTGGTAGGCTTTGGGTTTAGGTACAGATAGATTAAACTTAGCAGCAACAACATTGTGGTCACAGTTAGTGGGTGGACTCAATATAAAATGGCTTGTACAATACCCAGGAGAATCAGTAATTACAAAATCAAGATTGGTTTGACTTGTAGCAGTGATGCGAGTCGGTTCCTTTATTAATTGAGTAAAATTATTCCCTCGAAGAAAATAAGCAAATACTGAGCCAACAGCAGTGTTAGATTGGGTATCAACACTGTAGTGCGCATTGAAATCTCCTATTACTATAACCATTGTATAATTCGAACGATTAATTTGATTAATACTATCCTGAAAAGAATCAAGAAATTGGTCAATATCCGAACTAAGGTTAGAAGGTGGTCTGTAACACACGCCGATTAATATTTTTGAGTTTGATAAAAATACTTCCGACCATAGAAATTCAAGCTCGGGAATTTCAAAGTCTTGCCGCCTATTAAAGGCAAGATAATTACCCAAATAAAGTGCCACCCCACCACCCCATCCTAGAGAGCGGTTTTTTATCAACAGTAAATGATATCCATCATTGCTAATCTCTTCCAGTTCATATGAACTCAACCAAGTTTCCGAGAGAGCAAAAATATCAACATGATGGATATCCAAAAGGGCTGTTATACGATCTAATTTATCGTGACTTAACAAAGATAGAACATTAAGATGCGCTACGGAAAGATTAGTCGATGAAGTTGAACCTAGATTAATATGAATATCTGAAGATAAAGAAATTGTTAGTAAACAGAAAGCTGCCATGAGTGCAAACACTACCACGAGGTTCAGTGTAAACCCAAACGGAGCATGAACCAGATAACAACGAACTGCATAAGAATTAAACAGCCCAATGGCCGTTGATAGCATTCTAGCGAAATACCCATGCTATGCAGGAGCAAATAATAAACATGAAACTTACCTCTGGCTGCAGACGAAATAATAGAGACCTAGCGGCTAATAAGAAGTATATATTAAATAAGATTATTCAGACATTGACACACAACATTGATAAAAAATAAGTATTAAAGGTTGCTTAAAGTTAAAGGTAAATGTTAATTAAACAAACTAATTATCAATTAACAGGCTTGATATTCAATAAATCATCTTTGCTGCAAACTACATGTATTGAGCAGTTATCTCACTTTACAAATATTTTACCATCATTTGACCAGCCAGGATGAAATGCCCTGTGTCTCGAGCATAGCGTACTAGCTCGGATTACATGCAGTTAAATCTTCTCTTAGGTAGAGATCATTCTTTCCTTTTAAATTTCGACGAATCTTTAAAACTGCTTGTTTAGCGCGGTTGCCTTTAAATTTGACTATCATCTGACGAGGGTTGAAGCCACCTGGTTTACCAACACAATGCGCTCGGTCTATTACGGCATCATTGATTGAAATACCAATTTCATTTTGAAAAAAATTTGATACCGCTTGATAACAATCTTCACTGGGCTCTTCCTTTATCCCTCTGATACGCAGGTTATATTTTCTTGAATATTGTTCGTTGGCATTACGCTTGATGGATAGCCGAACTACTTCGACACGAAGCTTCGCGTTTTCGGATTAAAGCAACACGATTTGATCATTTATCGGGGCAACAATTTTCGAAAGCTCATTTTGCAAAGCTTCCTTAACATGGGTGGCAAACGCATTCATGATTTCTTCTTTGATTAAGGTCTTCATCTCTTCTCTAAATGCTTCATTATCTGGGGAAAGGCCAGGGCCAGAGGTTTTCTTCGACCTAGTCGACATTTTAAATGGCGTATTCGGAAACAGTTATGCGTGGATGAGCAAATAACAAATTATAATACTTAGATAATTCAGTCAGTCAACAATATTCGAAGCCTTTAATCTTCAAGTACAGCCGCTAATACATATATGCTTTCTTATTTAAAACTCTCTCGGCTTGTAAAAACTTTAATAAAAACGGGGGCGTATAAATACAGTTCCCTCGCCCACGTGAATAGTTAACTAACCAGGTAATCCAAGGAAAGCTTTGCTTTTCATTGTTGTTTTATACCCTAAAGCATAATTAACTTTAACTACTTTTTAACTACTTTTAACTACAGTTAAGGCTAACTACACTAATATACCACCGGCTTAACTATGTGATTAAACTTAACTACTATTTAACAACATTTTAACTGCATTTAGCGCCAACTACGTTTTTATACAACCGACCCCAGTGCGTAACTCACGCCTGAATAACGCTTCACAAAAGTTTCCGTTGCGCAGTGATTGGCAGAAAATGAGGAGTTTAACCACGTCGGGGTGCACAAACACACAGATATTTACTTGTAAGAAATTTTTATTTCGTTATAAAGGTTTACATAAATTTAGTAAGATTTATTTCAGACATTTTTAGTGTAATATCGTTACATGTGGGATTTCTCTCTCCCCTAGATCAGCCTCTTCAAGACTATTACTAGTACTATGACTATAGGCGTAACTGTATCGTTACATGACCTTGACTACATGCCCCAACGGGATGTTTGCAGGGAAACTCAATAAGATTTTTGGAGTAAACCACAATAACGTGCTTGGGAATACCTTAAAGAGGTCTTTTGGGGTACCCAATGCGGTATTATGACATCATGCTTACAGCTCAGACTGCTCTGTTAAATAACTAACTGCTAAATATGACTATATGACTATATGTCTATATGACTATATGACAATATGACTATATGACTATATGACTATATGACTAGATGACTAGATGACTATATATATGACTAACTATATGACTATATGACTGTATGAGAATATGACTATATGATTATATGGCTATATGACCATGACAACATGACGATGACTATATCATTAGATGATTATATGACTATATGACTATATGATTATATGACTATATGACTATATGACTATATGACTATATGACTATATGACTATATGACTATATGACTATATGGCTACATGACTATATGACTAACTATATGACTATATGACTGTATGAGAATATGACTATTTGATTTTATGGCTATATGACCATGACAACATGACGATGACTATATCATTAGATGATTATAACCATGACTATTTAACAATTAGTCGCCGAAGGCGAGGTGATTGCAAATGCTGAAAGGCCAGAATGCTGAAAGGCCATTTTTCAAACTTGAAATAATACTAAAAGACTATAAAACCACAACAGTATGACTATACGACTATGACTAGATGGCCATAACTATACGACTATATGACTATTTGACGGTATGACTACTATATATTATTATTATTATTATTATTATTATTATTATTATTATTATTATTATTATTATTATTATTATTATTATTATTATTATTATTATTATTATTATTATTATTATGAATATACGACTACTATATAACTATGCATTGCTAAACGAAACGAATCCTGACGACGTCCATCAAGGAAATTTCGAAATCGTATGTTGACCATCACCCGCGGTCCATTACAGCTTGTGATTTGTACGCTTGTGAGAATATTCTTGACTGGAATACTAGATCTGCTCAATGCTAAATGTTTGTCTTATCAAACATGCACACACTTTGGCTAAGCCTGTAAAATATCGTTGTTATATAATTCTAGACAGTAAATTGTTTTTAAAAAGGGGTTAACCGCAGCTCAAATTTACACGAGCATATAACACATGACATTAAGAACAAAGTATACTGGGTATGTATTCAGCATATGATTTCCTACCTTGCTACGGAAGTTGCTATAGCGATACGAATCTATTACAATGCATGAGGGAAATTTATGAATGATTCACGTACTTACACTTTCCATAAGTGACCTATGATGAAGCCCACTCTCTAATAAACGGGCATTAGAACGGAGATTATAGAAAAAGAGGCAAGTGCTAAAATTATGATATGTCTTGTACAAAATTGGACGAACTACTGACAGTTTGCAAATTAATCTCAACAAAGACTTCCATATCCGTGATCTAATTAATCCATTTTAAAACATTCATCTCTTAAATTTCCAGATACTGTAATTATAGCTTGTAGCAGGAAAGAATTGCCGTTTGGATGAAGACCAAAGTTGAAATCTGCACTGTTCCTTGACTTGTTTCAAAGTTATACTCCAATGATGTAAAGTGTGAACAACATTGCCATAAAACTATGCGGTTCACAATTTTGATATCCCATTTGTATATTCCTTTATATCTTGCATGCGTATTTTTATGGCCGATATTAAAAATATTTGCTAATAAAAATATTCAGATATCTGATTGATTAGAAATCTACAAAATCAATAATCATTAAATTTATTGAAGGATTCTTGAGAATAATTTATCTAATTTCTTTCCCATGAGTACTTTATAACTTTAAACATAAATTTAGTGAAAGAAAGCTTGTAAATAGGAAATAGGAAACTCTTAACTGGCAATGAAGCTGAAACTGAGCTTGAATGACATAGAAGCGGTATAAGCCCATTGACGTTGTTAAACTATATGCACAGTTTTTTCTGAAACATGCACCAACACTTTTGGTGAAGATTATTTATTTTCGACTAAATACATACAACTTGAAAGGATAATTATAAATTTCCAACCATGGTTTTCTCAAACGTTGGATTCATAGAGTATTTTCTGATGTCTATTCTAGAAAATAAAGAATGATGCACTGCATAATTATTGTCAAATTAAGCGTGGATAGGTGGACAGCATTAGATGCGAACGATAGAATTATGGAAACGACATGATATAAGGAAACGGCATGAGATATAAGGATTCGGTCTCTGTTACATCCCAACATTTAGCTAAACTCCAATGTCAGCTACTTACAGTCTATTAATAACATATTTTGTGAACCAAATTTAAAAAGTAATTACAACGCACAATTGGAAGACTCAACGAATGGCATACATGCAAGCATTAAAAAAATTAAAAACTCATTAATACTTCATCAGGAAAAGACAAACGAAATTACTGACGTGTCGGTTGTTTTATATCTGATAAAAACTCATGTATATGTACGTAAACTTTAGCTTTTTCTCGGCTTAAACAACGTTCATTTCTAAATCACTTCTCATGTGAACTCTTAAGATGGATTGTTTCTTAAGTTTTATATCTGATACAGCACTCCTGCTTCTGTTTTAAAATAGTGCTTCAAACACTCATTAATAATTTTACGAATTATTGCCAAATCATGTCAATCATAATATGTCAGGTGAAGAGGCTTTTAATCTTAAAGGTCCATCCTAATTAGTATTCTATATATAAAGAATACTAATGAGGCAGAATCATTGTAGTCGTGTTTGAAGCTATTTAATTAACGCGTAGTCGTGTTTTATCATATCTAAAATGCTCGTGCTGCGCACTCGCATTTTAAACATGGCGTAAGACACTCGTACGAGTGTTTTAAATAATACGTAAAGATCCATTAACGAATCAACCTATAAATCTTTTGAAAAATCCACATTTCAACTCCGGACTATTTTTTCTATATATATTGTGTATACATAACGAGTGCTATATGCGCTGAGTGTGTAATTCTTACAAAGTGGTATATAGGTGATATATTGTTTAGTTAACCTGGTACGGGGCGAAGTTTGGACAGACCATCATCAAGCTTGTTTTCCCTGGTATAAAAAGACAAATTTAAATAACAATGTTTGTATTCTTGCCATCTATACCTTTAACTTTAAATATTGTTCAAGAAGTGCTCCTTCTGCTTCTTCTTGCAATCTCTCCTTAGTTTTATTTTCCAGGTAACGATCAACTATTTCTTGCAGGATTCGTTTACGATCCTCCTGTAAGAAAAGGAGTCATAATTTTCAAGTTTTTGAAAGCATTTTAGTCAAAACATAATTTTTTCAGTATTTGGCTTAATGACGTCTCAGATAGGAAAAATAATAGGTAGAGCTTCTAAACAAACAGTATATATGGAAAAAATCAAGGTTATATATTTGGCTGTTACATCACTGGTCCACAAAGAAAAATATATTAACGATACCTCCGTATTGCATCAGGGATTGTATAGTTTAGGTGTAAATTACCGATCATTCTAAAATCTCCCCTATCAATTGGGAAATAGCCTGTTGGGAAATGCGCTCACCAATGAGTCGGATACTCAATAAACTCAAAATTGTTAGTTTGGGAACGTGTATGTAGACCAGTGAATAAGCGATTAAATAAATAATAACTATTTCCTTTATTTCTGACATGGCGTTTTACCTGTTTGTTCTCAGTATCTTCAATATGATCCATTTCCACTGTTTCTGGGTCGACTTCCATTTTCTTTGCTTCCCACTACAAAAGATTAACACAGCACGTTATTTTTGCCATAATTTCCCCATCTCTCTGATCGAGGTTTTCCCGTCTGCTGCGGGATTTTTTTATGTGATTGAATTTAAGATACTGAATATACAAAGATAGTCAACAACATTGTGTCATTCTTATTTTTCATTTATTTTCGGTGTAGAAACTAGTGTGATCTTATCGGTTTAGCACAGTTGTGCATGAAAGTCTGAAAATAATTTTTAATCAAATCAATGTATAAACAATAAAGCGATGATCTAGCTGGAGAATTGCAAGTGCCTAGGAAGTTCTCGCCTGGTCTTAGTTCACAAAGTCTTTCTTCGGGTTCAAGTTTGGAATATTAGTGATTTAGTTATGTGCTATTCTTTGCAAGAATAAAAAACAACGTTAATAAAAGTGGATCTCCACTAGACGATTTATGAGACGAATTTTATGACGATCGTCATAAAAATTCGCGACGATTTAGAAAGAAGTCGAGATGTACTAGCAGCAAGGAAAAAAGCGCTGGATGAACAACAAAAATTTGGCAATCCTCTGGCGCTCAACGAAAAGCATAGAAGTCAATCCCACTTTTTGTCGAGCGCAGACAACCTCATCTTTCGACTATATTTTATTCGTCATTCAGAGGAATGATGCTAGGTTACATTACCAAGATATTTATAAGCGAAAATTTGAGAAATTCCAGCCTAGACCTAGGCCTTCTATTTTTATTATTTTTTTTAATATTCAGCGCTTTTTCACATGAAAAGACTGGGACTAGGTGATTTGGGGGCGCGGCGGAGGAAGGACGCAGGGGAAAAAATAGAAGGCATAGCAGATTTCCCAATCCGAGTGCCAAAAACTGCATGCCCCGAATTTTCCCCACTTGGATATGCCCAATTATTGCGTTCTCAAGCAGAATAATTTGCGACCTAACAGCGAATTAAAACCGATACAGGTAAAATAAACTCATTTATATTATAAACTTACTATTTTTATTTGAATACACGTCTAGAAAATCGGGTTTTTAACATAAATTTTGTAGCAACACTATTATTATGTTGAAAAGGTGTAGCGAAAGCTCAAAATGAGTCGAAATATATACCAAAAGAAGAATCTTTCATAAAATTTTGCCTTATACACAACTATATTACAGTCAAACCTCTATTAAGCGGACACCTTTGGGACCTCGCCTAAGTGTCCGCTTAAAAGGGGTGTCTGCTTAAAAGGGGTACATAGAAAAACACAGCAGGAGGCAAAGGTGTGTAATTACGTGTGTAATTTGAGTATCAAAACAGTAAAAAATATCTAGCAAATAATTAGCATAAAATGAAAATTTCTTTGTACATAAAAGTTCATTAGGAAATGTATACGTCTCTCACAGTCATATAAGAAAGGAGTCGATACAAGTTTGCTTTCGAGGCTCACGGAGGCTTATTATAATGGTATGGTATAATGTCATTTACATAAAACCATTATAATGTCATGTACATAAAAATGGCGTTGGAAAGTTCTTCCAAATCTCGAAATTGTGAGAATTCTGCCAGCCGCTCGACAACTTTAAGGGCTTCGGAGGACGATTTAATGACTGTTCGTTAAGAGACCAGTCCAATTCATCATCTTCGTTCAGTTCGTTGTCATCATCAGTGATCTGACACACATCTTACAGCCTTGTGTTTGTAAAATATGCATACACATACACAATTATTAAATAAAACGGATACATACATATATTATTAGCCCGTACAGTGTATAAAACGTACATTATTTACAATTCACAATTTACATTCCCGATTCGCAAATATAGTTATTCAAAGCAAAACAATATATTATCTTCAGCGAATAAAAGAATTATTTCGAGTATAAATCAGTGTACAAAATTGTTGGAACTTTAAAGGCCTTTAAAGATGTTTAATACAATTTAACGCGACATTTATAAACTAATAATAGGTTAGTTTAGTCATAAAATGTTTTTGTAGTTAATGTAATAACTACTGGACGGTATAAATTGCTTTAGTTGTTGGTTTCTGATCAAGAAGTTATGGAGCTAATTTGAGAACTTGTGAAATCGACTAGGCCTTTACGAGGCAAATGACCATTGCGATAATGAATTATTATTATTATTATTAATTTCCAAACTAGCAGTAACAACTGAATTACTTTGGAATTACAAGGTATAAGAACATAGGTATTCAATCTATTCTTTATTTACAGGTAAAAATAGGTAAGTTAGATAAAAATTCCGACAATAAACTAAAGTTTACTTATTATATTATAAGCACGAGACGCAGCAGGAATGAAACTGTTCGAAAAAGTTCTGTTCTGCACCTATGAGTACTAATAGGTTGGAATAAAACCTCAGATCATAAGTTTGAAGATTTTTAGGCGGTACTAAGGCATTCAGTTTATGAGTGGGTTCCAACATCTTCGAAAAAAGGCGCTTGCAATGAACTGTTTTACGTTCAGCATAGGTAATACCAGGAAAAATAATTTTTAATGCCCTTTTTTGGAATTTTTCCACTTGATCACTCAGGTAATGAGGAAGGCCATAATGCCACACCTGACAAGCATATTCCACAATTGGTCGAATATGTGTGCAATAGGTTGAGATCAGGATACGAGAAGGTAAAGCATTTCTTTTAAGAAGGGGCAGACCATACAAACGCTTCGCGGCTTTCGTGCAAATGTAGTCAATATGGCGGTTCCATTTAAGATCGTCTGAAAGAACAACGCCCAATAATTTGGCCTTGGAGACGACGTCGATCTCTTGACCACGGATGGTATAATAGGGGAAAACGATGGAATAAGCTTAGAAAAGCAGATACGCAATTCATTGGTCTTTGATACATTTAACTTCATATTATATTGACCGATGACCATTCAGTGCAGCTGAAGATGTTAGCAGGTAACTGGGACGGGGAATGTATGGGAAGGACGGCTAGTATCATCAACAAATTTAACAGTTTCATCCGCTACTGCCAAGTTATTGATCATAATAAAAAATAATAACAGGCCGAGCTTTCTTCCTTGTGGAACGCTGGCGTTTAAAAACTTCCACTCAGAAAGGAACTGACCAACACGGGTTCTTTGTTGTCTGTCTGTTAGAAAGTTTGCGATCCAGTTGAGTAACACGGGAGTAGTGTATATAGGCGCTTCTAGGACAAAATGGTTAATACTTCATGTAAGGCAAATTATAGTGGATCCGGGCAAGTATGGGCATGCCCGGAATGTGATTCCCGGAATCCCGCCTTCCTGGAATAGAATCGATGACGTCACTTCCGGTTACCCAATTCCCCCCGCCGCCCCAGGTGTCGTCTGCCTGCCGGACACATCCCCCGCCCTCGCGCATCCGTGGTCGCGACCATGCAAGCACGCAAGTGTACACGCACATGCTCTGACAATTTTGTCGGAAATTCCCGTGGGTGTTGACCCGATGAATTTAGTCTTCCGCAGGCCCACCGCACCCGCCGCGTCGCGCACGCTTGTTGGGGTTTTGGTGGAGGAAAGTGGTTTAAAGAGAAAAGTTTATGTATCAGTAAAAGTATGGATACCGCATTTGGAAAGTCTCTTAAGAAATATGAGGGAAATATGGGTTTGATTTTAGAGACTAAAGAAAGGTCCGGTTACAAGGACCTGAGTATTATTTATGTGGCGTACTTGGACTCTATCGGTTGGAACTTTGATGGACCGGCTCCGGGTCGGGAATTATTATACGGAATGGATTCCCCACTTTCAAGGACCCTTTCAGCATACCACAAAGAGTTGTGTCCGACCCGGGAGCCGAGGAAGAGGAGCAAGGACATGAAACTTTTTGATATAGCGGAAAAGAAGTACTTGGATTTCCTTGCTTCGAAGGAACCTGTGGAATTTCCGAATAAACACTTTTGTTCCGAGGGACGTAAGCATAATCTTATTGATATAGACGGGAAAAGAACGTGTCGCGAATGTGGGTTAGAGGTTGGTCTAACCAGTTACGTTTCTGGATACGGCTGCTGGGACAGAGCAATTATGGGAGTAAGCCAGCTACCGTCGATTCCAAGGTCTATGGTTTTATAAAAAGGAAGGGTGTGTCGGAATGTGAATTGTTCGGGGAAGGATCGTTTGAGGTTATAAACAAAATTGTTAATATTTGCGACGCGGAGAACCTAAGGAGAAGAGACTGCCTAATCTTAATATTATCAGTTATCAGGTATATAAACGGCTTGGTGTGGAGGCTGACTGGTCTTTACTTAAGATTCCTAAGGGGAAGGCTTCCCACAATCGGTGTAGGAAAATATTTGAGACATTAGGTTGGGATTATGTTGAATACATTTTAATGTTTATTGGAACCATTAAAATTGAAGTATTAGTCTTAAGGCAATGATGGCAAGGAGAACCTCAGCCGTTATCGGAATTAGCAGGAGGCTGATCAGACATAACCACACCAGTTTCCGTGGTATTTTCATCATTTTGTTTATCGTATTTCTTTACGGTTGTGCTGGCATAACCGATCTGGGTATGTGCACTCATCGTGATGTCACCCCGTTCGATGCCAATTCCAAGGTTGAACATCTTTCTTCTTTTGTGATTTTTGTTGTACTTTATTCTGTTTGCGGTTTCGAGTTTTGAGGACAGACATTCCATTTTATTTCTTAGTCTTATGTTTGATGGGTTTGGGTTTAGGTTCTGGCTTGGGTTCTGGTTTGGGTTTCGGACAGCATTCACCCTTCTTCATGTATTTGTAGTTCTTTACGCTGGACCTGTTGAATTCGACCCTTGCATCTGCACCGAAGGTTAGACTTCCCTTACCCACCTTGACACCAACGTTTGCTTCCTTATTTTTCTTCTGCTCTTTAACGATCTTTTCCTTCTTCTTTTCGCTACTCATTTTTATTTAACCGGAAAATAAAAAGTCATTCAACATGATTATTGTAGGTATGACGGCCTGTGGGAAGACGCATTATCTCGTTCAGGAACTAAAGACGACGTTATTCCAACAATTTGAAAATATATTTCTGATTTGTCCCACCTATCACTGGAATAAGACCTATGATCAGGATTTTATTCGTGAGGACGACAATTTCTTTGTTATCCCCTGCCTGCAGGATGAAGTGGAGGACTACCTTAAATTTATAGTGGACTTCACCAAGGGAAGGGAGTCTCTCATAATTCTGGACGACTGTGCCAGCACTAAGTCTTTGAAGGATCGGACTGGAGAGCTGGTTGACCTTGGTTTTAGCGCACGTCACATGAGTATTTCCACAATTGTTATTACCCAACAGCTGACCTCTATTGCTAAGCCGTACAGGCAGAATATTTCGAAATTGGTGACGTTCTATAATCCAAATAGGCAGGACATGAAGATTATTTTGGATGAATACCTTCTTGTTGACAACGCAGAAATGAGATTTATCAAGGAGAAGTTGAAGGAAAATAAGTATGCCCATCTTGAGGTGGAACTAATACACCCGTTCAATCACGAAGTAAAAGTTCCTACAGTATAATAAAAGGGGAATGGAACAAGAACCGCCAAACGCAGAAAATACGGAGATAGAGGACAGTAGGGCAGAGCTTATTCGCCTGTCCAATGCGGGAGAGATTAAACAGTCCGAAATTTACCTGAAGAAGGCATCCGGGAAGGTTATCGTGAAGGTACGGAGGGAATATATTACCGCACAGAGGGAAAAGGCAAACGTTGTGCTGGCTGAGGCTTTAATTGAAAAATTTTCGGATCTCATGGAAGCTATCAATATGGTGGATAGTGGGAACGAACTAAGGGAGGAATTGAATCAGGATAAACTGTTTAAGAGTAATGTTAAAAGCGTAATAGCAAAGCTGTCCCCATACATACCCTACCTGGGTATTGTTAGTGGTGGAGTGACGACAGTGAAACATGTTTATCGAAAGACACCTGAACAACCACCTTCTGAGGAAGAACTGGAGACTGATGATCAAGCGTAAAATTTTCCAAACTCTGTTGAGTATGGAAAAAGTGTGGATCTCCAATAATTTAGTACTTTATTCCGGCAAGTTGTCCGTTCGTGATCTTGATAACACCGTCGGAAAGGACGAACAAGTAACATACAACATCTGCGGTTGTGGCTTTCTTTGTGATCTCCACCAATATTCCGGATTGGGTGTTCTGGATTTTAGCACCGTTTCCGTACGTGTTGGCATCGCTTGCGGTTCTGAAATCGATGACCAATGCGAATTTCTTGTCTTTGAAGAATCCGGTTAGTGTCTGATGACTGATTCCGTTAGTACCGAACAGTCGCCTTGGCTCCTCATATAGTCTTGTTTTGGGGATACCCTGACTATAGACGGCATTGGGAACACCTTCTATGGTTACCCTGACCTTTTCGATATTGGGGTAGATGTATTCCTCACTGTCTGTCTTTGTCTTGTTTGTGAATAGCATGACGATGGCTTTCATACTCCTGCGTGGTACGTTGATCGTTTCGTTGATAATGGTGGAATCTTTGCTCCATTCCGTTTTCTTCATTAGGGTAGCGTGTTCGAAGGATAATTCGCGTTCGGATCCATACAGACCCTCGGCTTTCCTTGAGAGATCGATGTTGTCGATGGACTCGTATTCCAGTTCGATGTTCTCTAGGGTGTATCCTTCCACGGATTCCCCACCCTGGGCGTTCATGATTTCGGCCGCCGTGGGTAGGGTGATTACATATTGTAAGTCGTTTGCCATGTTGTGTGGAGCATAAAGTCCATGATCTTTGAGGATCTTGTTGATCCGGATCTTTTGTTTCGTTCCGAATACACCGAACAATGCGGTAGCATCTGTATCATCGTTTCCGGCGTCGTCCTTGGATATTTTCTTTCTCGTGGCTTCGCTAGCGATACCATCTTCTACCATATCATCACGTTGCTTGTTGTGTAGCCATAGGTCTTTGTAGACTTCCAGTAAGCTTTCCCCGCTGTTGTCGTAGACCTTTTCTCCTGCGAGTCGGATTTCCAGTCTCTTCTGAAGTAGTTTTCCTAGGTTATTTCTAAACCAGGATTTTGTATTACTGTTCTTGAAGTCGAAGACCAAAGCCATACTATCCGGTACGAGAACTGAGTCGGCTTTTAGCTTTGGGATGTTAACGTAGATTTATCCTCCGGGTTTGGCCGAATTGGGATTGAAGGTTAGAACATGTCTTGTCCTATCCCCAGTAATTTCCGTCCTATTCATGCGTCGGAAGCTGATCATAAGTTCAGTTGTTCGGTCCATTATGTTTTATTATAGTATAACTTTACTTCCTTCGTTTCATCTGTAGGTACTTGTATATGGCTCCGGCAATTAGGACTGCTACGATCCATAGATTTTTGGCAAGGAAGGCGAGACCATTAGCTCCCCAGCTTAGGATAGTACTCAGCAAATTTAGGATGGGTACTAGGATTGGTAGTGCGGATTTTGCAAGTCCGGCCAGTGCTTTTCCTACGGCTCCTAGTCCCTTGGAGGCTCCTACCATGGTCTTCTTTCCGGCCACCACGACTGTAGTGATAATTCCAGCAATAGAGATGGCAATGGCGGCTATTGCACCTAGGTTTTCCTTTGCCCACTTGCGGAACCGTTAGAATTTTGTCCTGACGTTTTGTCTTACTATTTCCGTAAACCTTACTTTTCCCTCTTCCGTTTCCGGTTGAAGACCTAGGATTATCCTTTCGTTGTCTATGCCTTGTTCCGCAGCTGTTATTCCTCTTCTCATGATTCTTTCCCTTTCCGGTACTGTTGTAAGTTCTGCATTTTCTTCGAATACTTTCTTCGTTATTTCCAGTGCTGCGATCCTAACTTCCGGGGTCCCTTGGGTACGGTCACTCCCGCAAGATCTCTCCTTTCATTTTTGGTTATTATTCTCCTTTCATACAGCTTCCTTGCATGTTCCACGAGGGTGTCGCCCGTGTCGGTGACTTCTTGGCGGATTTCTTCCGCGGCATTCTCGTAAATTTCTTCTTCGACTGACCTTGATGTTTCTCCTCCGGTCTCCTCTTCGATTACACTTTTTGCTTTTCCCCTGTGTTCTTTGAGTGCTTCTGCGTACAGCTTTAAAAATGTCTTTACAGATCCGGAGGATTTTTTATCCTTAGACAAATTATATGCACCACCCGTATCAATGTATGCGACATCGACTCCATTAAATGTTAACTTGTTTTTAGTGATATCTAAACTGGAGACGAGTTCCTTAGAGTTTTGTCCGTCGGCTGGATCTATTCGGTACTCGGTCTGAAAAAGCCTCCTAACATATTCTACCTTTATGTCATCAAATTTTCCGTATGTTCTCAGTTCATCTAACTGTCTTTTTCTCTTTTTGAAGGAGTCGTCTTTATTCTCCTCACGGAAACTGGAGGTTTTTGCATTGTCTAGTCCATCTAGTCCTGAAAGAGAGCCGTCCTCGTCGAGGGGTGTTTCAGCAATAGCACCCTCATCACCCCCTTCAGCTTCTTCCGGTCGGTTAAGGTTATCCAGCTCTATGGTGTCCATCTTTATTTAAGTCTAAGGATAGTTCCTGTTCATAGTATCTTCCTAGAATATCCTCCGCATCTTCCGGATCCTTAAGGCTGTACATAGTGGGATCTCCCCGGAACACCGCTGTAACGACGTATACTTCGTTGTCAAAATTTGGTTCGTATCCCTTTTCGAAGGTCTTGTGCTTTATTTCCACCCTAACGTGATCCCCAACCTTAAATTTAGGATCCGGAAAACTGCTTAGTGGATATCCGTAGATTCTTGTCCAAACTTCATCCTTATTTTCCTCATTCACATCTGCCGGTTTCATTCCTATTGTCCTGTGTGTGGAATTATTATAGGATCTAACGAGAGCAGGTAAGATGTCCACCCAAACTTTCGTCCTGTTTTCCGTAAAGTATTTCCACATCCTTGTCTTTAGGGTCCTATTGAATCGCTCGACGATTGCGGCTTTTCGAAAGGTCCTTGTGGAAAAGTAGTGAACATCATGATCTTTTAGCAACGTCTTTAACTCCCACATTGTAGAATTCCTTTCCGTCATCAAACTGTGCCGTTTTAGGATACCTACCGAATCTTTCCTTAAATTGTACGAGCACATTTTTAACAGCCTTCGTCATGCTTTCGGTATTTTTCCTCCATACGGGGATGGCAAAGGCGTACCGGCTTAGGACCTCTCTGACAGTTAGGATCCACCGGTTTCCCTTATTCCCGTGACTAAATTTACTCATATCCACAAGGTCCATTTGAATTTGCTGTGCAAGTCCGTCTACATAGGTTCTTTGTGTCCCGTAATGTTTTCTGGACGGTTTGTGAATAATGTAGGTATTTTGGGTCTGTAACCACTCCTTAACGTTTTTCCGGCTAACTTCCTTTATACCCTCCTCCTTTGCACTCTGATATAATTTTTCCATCGACATGTACCCGCCGTTAACGTTAAAATATATTTCCCTGAGAGCTACATCTAATGGTAAGTCCATTTTATTATATCTGCATATAAAACATGAAGAAGATAACGGTCTATGTTGAAGACGGAGGGGTTACCCTGGATTTACAGGACCCACTGATCCTTACCCACGGATCCGAACTCTACGTAAAGACTACTGCCGTGTTTTGGAATTATAGGAATATTCGTAAGGGATTCAATGATTACATTTCCGTAGATGGGAAGAAGATTACGATAGATGAAGGGTACTGGACCTTCAAGCAGCTTAGGAAAGAGTTGCAGGAAAATGGATTAACACTTAAGGAATATCCCGATGGAAGGATAAGGATCGACTTTGCTAAGGGAACAAATTCCGCAGGGCTCCGAAATCTCACGAGTATTTTGCGTTACCGGTCCTCCAATGGCTCTACATACACCCCACACATTAGCGATCGTCCCGTAGACATCCACGAAGGCTTGCGTTACCTTACAGTCAGTTGTAACCTTGTGAATCGTGAGCATAACGTCGGGCCGTACGGAAATAGGAGTACCGTCATCACTTCCCTTCCCATCGATGGAACAAGACCCCTCTTTGGGACCACAACGAAATACAACGACATCGAAAGCCAAGTACGGGTGGATGCTGGCAAGTACAATGAAATTCGGTTCGAAATCGGATCTAATACCGGAGCCGTTCCTGGAGATGTCCTGCTAGAACTTTATATCAAATAAAAGGATGAGTGAGTACGAAAAGGTTAAAGCGGAAGTACCCGTCGAAGTCCAGAAAATGAAGACAAACTTCACGAAACAATATCCCAATGCAATCCTATCCAAGTTCGACTTTGAGGTTACCTTTGCCAAGGATGGAACCGTGGATTCCTGGAACATCTTCTATAAGGTGGATGATCTCACAAGCTATGATATTACATCCGACACATTCCGTAAGAATACGGAGTGGACCAAGTACCTATACTGGGTAGAGGGGTGGTGTAGTGTTCGGCCGGATGCAATCTTCCGTCCAAATAAGGATTTCAAGATGGACGTACATACCTTTAAGGTCTATGTTACGGAGACCGAGAATTTCCTGACAAAACTTGAGCCTATTAATCTATCATACGATAAACCGCCCGAAACCTTCATCAACACTGTACCCTTCGATTACCACTCCAATTCTTACTTCTGTTCCCTAGCAGCATGCTATATTGCTATGTTTAAATCCGGAATTTCCGGGGATCATCTTACGGACAACTTTCCCAATTCACACTCCAACATAGTAACCTCCATTGTCCGATTCCATCTTCACTTTCACCTATCGAGGTTTATGCGTAATCCCAAACTACTGTACCAATATCTTACAGGAGATGATATACGAACCATTAGGAAGTACATGCCTGTACGTGAGACATGGGTTAGGAGGACCGTCTCTTCCCACGCAAACCTTGGAACATGGTATTACGGCTTACCTGTGAGCGAACAGGAAAGAATACGACGTCAGAAGTACCGTCTGACCCAATATGGAGGTTCATTTATCGAATACGAATACCTGACCGGCAGATCACCCTTTGACGTTGAGAATGATTATAAAACCCTTATTCCCAAAACATCCCGGGGACTTACCAAAGTTGGACAAAAATTATTCCAGCAGTCTATCGAGGCGTTCGTGTACTCTGTATTAGGGGCACAGGCCAAAACCTGGTGGAGTATTACGGGTCAGGGTGCTAAAAGTCTGCAGACACAGGAGGTTTTCCGGAAGGTGGTAAAAGACACGATTGTACAAGACGATGTAACAGTTACCATTTCCAACATGAGGACGGCTATTGCCAATATACACGTCGTCCTAAATTTTGCAGTTATGCCGGGTTTAATCCTAATCCCCTCTGACCTAAGAATTTTAGCAAAACCTATCCCAGGATTTAGCAATGTCCCAACGATAGCTAAAAACGGGATGACGTTCGGAAAGAATGAGAAGGTGAATTATTCAAGTGATTCCGTTCCTACCCCTACGAACGATGTAGACGAAAGCCATGACATTACACCGGTTCCTGCTGTGGAGGACTTCAAACCCCCGGAATTAAGGCAGAAGTCTGATACTCAAAATATTGCTCTTGAGACAGCGGCAGTAGCATCCTTTGGACTTGCATACCTAGTATTTCGACGTCAAATAAAAATGAGCATCTTATTCGGATACGATTACTTTGATACAACAACAGAAGACCTGGATATCCTAAAACAGAAACTAGCAGTAGTTGAAAAGGGACAGCAGGGAAACACGGCAGAAGTTGTCAAAAACTCGGACGAGATTGTAAAATTGAATAGCCTCGGGAAAAATTATGTACAGTACGATTTTACACAAACACCTGGGTATCCACCCGGATTTCTTCAACCTTCTAATATTCCCGATGCGGATAAAGGGAACGCAAAATTCATTAGGTTTAATGTTAGTGACGGAAATAACACGGCAACATCCTCCCCCCTGTACGGGTTTTACGTGGGCAGTGCAGGAACCATTGTCCTTTTTACACGTGATCAGAGCAGTAGGATTATACAGGTCTCGTTTACATTTTTCGTTACTGGCGATACAACAAATTCTATGGTACAAATTTTTGGTCTGGAATCCAGGGATGTAAATGTAACCGGCAGAACAGGAACTACAACCATAAGCTGCTTCCTCATGACAACATAAAGTTTTAAATCCAAATGGTAGGATTTAAAATATTCGTGTTAATCCATAGGCTCCCCCAACACCCAGTATACCCACTGTCAACACTGCGTATTTTTTCATCTCGTCCGATGGTTGATAGTAGTCCTCCAATTTCGGTCTGCGTTGAGATGCCGTATTATCCATAAGCCTCGTATAGTTCCTCAGGTCTTCCAGTGCCCTGTTTGTTTCCGCGATATCCTTGTTAGCATCCAGAATTTCGGCCCTCCGTCTTGCCTCGTCGTTCGTACGCTTCACTTCGGACTCGTAAAACTTCTCCTTGGCTTTTGCAAGCTTCTCCAGGGCCGGGTTATGTCTTTTTACCTCTTCCTTGTATCCCTGTCCATCCAACTTGGCAAATAGGAAGCCGGCCCCGGCAAAGGCCACAGCATTAAAGAGTCCTCCAACTACGATAGATGTCATTCTTTATTTGTCAATCATTTTTGGGATGCAGCGGCGGCGAAACAGATTTCGTTCTGGGGGGGCTAAATTTTTTCGGCGACCTCCCCCCCAAAAAAAAAATTGGGTCAGTGTACCACTTTAGGGGTACAATATACAAAAAAAGGTACGAAAAAAAATTTTTCGGACTTATATCAAAAATTTTTTTCGGAAATACACTTTTTTTAAACAAAATATTGCAAATTTGTCCCCTTATACCTAAATTTTCAAAAAATAACCTAAATTTTTCCCTAATTATCAAAATTTTTTCAAAAAATTCAAATTTTCTGGGGGGGCTAAGCCCCCCACTTTTACTTCTGGGGGGGCTTTAGCCCCCCTAGCCCCCCCTGTTCCGCCGCCCCTGGTCACGGTTCCTAAGCTTACTCCAATATCTGCATGTACTCATATGAATTAGAAGGTTTTGAACATTTAAATCTTTCAATAATCTAAACGAAACAAAACCTTGTCAACCTCAAATTTGTGGAAGCTGGCGTGGTTGGTGTCTCAAAAAGATGAAAATCAGAACGTTCTCCCGTATGCTGTAATTGGATATGACCTACCTTTTCCGTCACTGATAAATATGGACTGTGAAAAAGTCAAATATCCATATATACTACTTTTTAGGACTTCTCAAACTTAAAGGCCCATTTCCACGGACAGAAAATTTTCCGAGAATATCATTGTTAAAAGTTGAATATTTTCAACTTCAAAATTTTTTCCGACCGAAAATTTGCGTCGGCCAATCACATTTTACCAAATTTTCTTTCTGCGGAAAATTTTCCTGAATGGAAATGGACCTTAAGACCTGTTCATGTGCCCAGTGGGAAACTTACGTAGAGTGATATCTGCATAGCCTTTCGCCTAACGCATGTAAAATTCAATTTGTGTTCTAGTATGAGAAACAAACCAGGCAGGTACGCGAGCACTCAGCTTGCGCAAGGTGCGACTCAGCCAATTAAGTGGGATAAATACATCTAAACAGACACTGTTAAATTCGTAATACAAGGTTCAGTTTGTACAACAAAAAATATTTTGAAGACGCCATGTTTACATAATGCGGTCACAACAAGTTGGAATTTTAGATGGAATAAGAACACTCATATATGAACACTGAAATTCACTCAAGTGAACTTCCCGGACTCATGTATGAACCACGAAAAGTTCTTTCCACGAAAAGTTATTTCAGTGATAATGCACTAGTTTATAGCCTACATAATTGGAAGGTAATAAGACAATTTTCTGCTGTATAGTGCAGTATAGATCCCGATCTTTTCGTCAACATTGTGGAAAAACATATACATACAAAGTCTCTTTTATATAAACTGACTTCCCAAACTTACCTGCTTCTTCAAGCTTCGTGAAATTACTTCTTGGATGAGAATTTGAGAGGTCCGTTCAAGACGCCCGTGACTGTTCTAACATCACCTGCAAAGAGAACAAAAGTAATTAGCATTGCGAGGGTTGTGCTATCAAAAAAAAACTGGATTCTGGAACATGATTACTGAAAAGTGGCGTTTGGGCGTCATATCATGTCATGAACATTAGAAAGAACAGAAAAGCATTCTCATTGGAATGACAATAAAATGAAGAACCTTCTGATTAGAATTATAAACTAAGAAATGTTCTAAATTGGAATTAGAAAACCATTTTGATTGAAATTAGAATGAATTCAGATGATTCTAATTGAAATTAGAACAATCTGAAGTCGTAAAGATCACGGAATGGAATAACATAAACAAGAGCGTTTTGTTTGGATAAAAACGTTCGCTGTAAAAACAGATGATGACTTGAGTAGAATTATTTGACATTATTCGTTCCATTTATCAGTATTTGCATGCACTGTCCAACCATTTGCACATCGGTCCATAATCGCATTCCTGATTTTCCAAGATACCATTGTGACGTTTGACACATATGGCGAATGTTATGACTTTTTCTAACAGGAAAGATAATTTAATTACATCAGTTGCCGATAAAATACGATAACATGTACTACACACTATAAATAAAACATGTTGTTCAATAACTGCAGATAATCACAAAGCTCGAGAGAGTTATAAAATACAACTTTTCTCTTAATCTCTTTCATTCAAATTAATTCGGTTTCGTTAGTAGTACATGCAGGTACTGCCAGGTAGTATCCTCATCATGAATTTGGGATGCTTAGAAACAATATTATTTTCTCCAAATATTTCTAATTTTGCCTTTTAATCAATGTTAAAACATATGTATAACATATTTGCATATCTGGTTAACCGAAAACGATACACGACAGTTAATTTAACTATCACATATTGAAATCGAAAAAACTTACAAGAAAACATTTCCTACTGTCAAAATTTGAAGACAAGTGCAAAAAATAACCTACAGTCAAAATTTCAAGTGTAGAAGTCAAGCGTTTATGGAAGAGAAGCCCAATACATGCAGATAAATATATATACACGATGTAGAAAAGCTCATTTTTGCTTTGATGATATAGTAGAAATGTTAATTAAAATTTTATATTAATTTGTTTTCACTACTATAATTAAGAAAGCCTAATATTGGAAATATGCGCCATATAGAATAGCTCATTTTTGCTTTGTTGATATAGTAGAAATGTCCATTAACACTAAAAATTAACGTGACTTTGATGAACCCAGGCCCAGCTAATATATTAAATCTCTCAGATCTCACAGTATCACGCCATCTTATCCTTCGTCTTCCTTCGACCTTCTGGACGTCTCACAATTAAAGGAATACAAAACAACAAATGCCTTCCTACGTATTCTCTTGCACATGCACAAAAAGGTTTTAGATTTTATACCTTTTCTCATCTCGTCTCTACTAACGGGCTGTTCCTATATGGAGCTGACACGGTTGAGCGGGATGATTAGTTTAATAAAGCTTATCACGGCTTTGACAAACATTTAAATTGACATTTCAAAGTTGAATTAGCTTAGTTTGATTCCAAGAATAGTATAAAGTTCATTCAAAAAATTTCGTGACACAATTCACCCTGCTGGCCGGGCTGCAATTCCCTGCAGCTCATTTCAACAACCCCTATATCATTATGTTCATACCAGATCTTTACAGACTTTAAAAAGGCAAAAAGTTAATTTCTAAGAAATCCCTTCTGTATGTTTTGTGGACGTTAATTAACTTGCAGTTGCTAGATATGACTCATATATAAAAATCACTTTCCAAAAAAATCGCAACCGCTACCACACCATAGAACACTATATATTTCAGTGAATCTACGGACCCCCATAGAAAGTCACACACCTTTGGTGCATGGTGCTCAATACAACCATAAACATTTGGGGTGAAATTTCGTGTCATAGGCACTTTAATAAATTAATACAGGTATAAACTTTTTTTGTGTAAAATGTAGTGGAGTATCGGCCTTCATGTGTTATTTATAATCTCTATGCTCCACACCATGATTCGTCATCAAAATGCACTTGCCATGTTCCTAGTCAGTACGTTTACTGAGGCATTCACGCCCCCTCCCCCCCGAACATTCACTATATTTTGAATATTTTCAGGGGGATGAATGCCTCGAGTCTCGTAAGAACGGTTAACGCCGAAATCATGGCAAAACCAAGAAGTCGGCCTTCAGTAAGGTCTCTATTCTGTGTTATATTAATATAGGAGTTGAATATATTAGACATACATATTTTAGAAAGCACAAAGACGATCGCTAGCGGTGAAGATTTAATGAAAAAGTAAACAAATTCAGTAAGGTCTCTATTCTGTGTTGTATTAATATAGGAGTTGAATATATTAGACATACATATTTTAGAAAGCACAAAGACGATCGCTAGCGGTGATCAGATCTAATGAAAAAGTAAACAAACAATTTCGGACAATAGGCCATGAATAAAAGAGATCCAGTCGGGGGTAAATTAAACCCGCGGGGGCAGTTTGGATAACGACGTAAGAGTGATCTATGACCGATTGTCATCGTTTCAAAAAATAGCTGGACTACTAACTAAATACTAACAGACCGCTTCGAGCCTTCAAGATTGATAATGAGAAAGCAGACAACTTATTTTAGATTGCAATCAAATCCGTTTCGAGAATGTTTGGCTTTATGTAAGCCCATCATGCGAACGCATATCAAGTACCGCGTTTATCAAATGTACATCACTTCCCGTTGCCAGTGTTTTCACTCAATCTGGGAATCTTGCTATTCAACTCATTTTGTTGGAGCAGTGAAATAGAAAACATGATCAATAACAATCTTGGCGAAATTTAGTCCAAGAACTACACACGGGTTTGGGCATATAGAAAGTGCGCAATCTATACTGACTAAAATATTTCAAGCCGTTCGATACAATCATTATAGTCATTGCCAAATTAAAAAATTAAATATACAAAGTGAAATTACACATTTTAAATTCTCGGTAAAATTTAGCTCCCAAAACCTAAAATATACGATGCATTTTTGCAGGCATATAATATATAAATTTTCCTTGCTGGCATTAAATAATATGAAAGAGCCCTGACATCCTAATACTCTTTTTCTGTCCTTCTATTCTAACAACATCTGTCAAGATAGGATGGTCAAAGCTACAAAACAGAAGAGCTTTGTTTGATGTTGAACTATACCTCACCGTGCCGAAATCCTTTGTCTCAACTTCATTAAATATTATTCATCCTGGTTACACGTTTCATCTTATGCAGAGTCCAAATTACCTGATTTTTTAAGTAGTTTTTCAAATTTAGTTAGCCAGCTTGTAATTTTTTCATGTGTACATTCAAAAGTAGCAGGTGTTTTTTTCGATGAAGAATATATTAGCATAATGGATACGGGGCTAAATCTACTAGGGGGTTGGGGGGAGGGATGCTCCCCCGAAATATTTTTGAAGATTTAGACCCTCGGAATTCGAAAGCCCGAAAATGCAACTAAAATTTGGCACTCTTAGCTTGCTCTCCTGTTTAACGTCCACGTTTGCTTGTCAATGCTCACAATTTACCTGAAAATCAGCTTAATTAAATTACCTAGAAATCTACCTGAAATGACCCAGCAACAAATATTGGGGGGGGGGGTAAGGCGGGGGTTATATCCTCCCTCCTAGTATCCTACACTTGTCGATCGCTACGTCCATGTAGGCAAGACAGTTATCTAAAGCTGTTGTGAATTGCGCAGCAACGATGTAAACAACAAAATTATTTACATCGTTGCTAAGATGTAAATGGCAAATTTGCCCATGGCTATTAACCTTTGGATGTTTTTTATATATGAGTAAGCACTTACAAAGCCTCGAGTATTTTGGGGATAAGGAACGTACTAATTGGAAAAGTCTAGAATTTTGCTGTTATGGTCGACATTTTAACCAGGCCTCTGTGTTGTCGGCTCATGTTGTCTTGTTCTCTCTCCTCCGCAGAAGCTTACATGAACCCAGAACTCATGCTATTTTATGAAGAAACTCGCGAAGTAGGCAACAGTAGGCTGATTTGATAAACAGCACATCGAAAATTAGAAGTTAGCGCATAACAGCGAATATATAGTGTGTATATATATGACAACTACCTACAAACATAATGCTGTGCTGAGTGGTTATATTACTACCTTAAAAAATAAGCAGAAACTCGACGTTTCGAGCGAAGGCCCTTCGTCAAGAGTTAGTAGAGCACAGCATTTCTACATTGGTACTACCTACACTGGTACAGACAGTTTTAGTACCTATAAACATCGTCTATCAACGGATAGGATGATCTAGAAACTAAACAGAAGTCGTTGTGTTATATGTTTTTGTCTGCGTTTATATTAATTTGCGCATTGAAGACAAAGTGATTGAGCTCGTTGTATGGTCGTTCAATAGGGATACCATATAACCACGATGAATAATATTTAATGAAGTTGAGACAAAGGATTTGTGCACGGTGAGGCACAATTCAACATCAAACAAAGCTCTTCTGTTTTGTGGCTTTGAGTCAGTTGCCGGGCTTCTTGACCATCATATCTTGACAGACTATGCTGCAAAACAATAACACAAACAAACAAGCCAGTAATTTATGTTCAGTGCTATCAATCAATATTTTGTCATCTGTATATATTTATACGAAATTGATCAATTTCTATGGATGACGCTCTGCATGGTAACTGATGCAAGAAGGCAAGAGTTAATTGAGAAAATGGATACAGCTACTTACATTTCAAACGATTTCGCCCAAATAGCAAATCACCTATAACCGCAAATTGGAGACCTTCAATAAATTAGCGCTGTATTGAACTTTTGTCCAGGACAACGTCATGAATTGTTCAATTGGGTTGTCACCGCGAGGTCAAAAATGATTTTCTAAGGGAGAGCGAAACAGTTCAATAGAGCGCTAACCTATGGGGTCGTGTACTTCAATCGATCCGATCATGCAAGTACGTAAGACAAAGGTTAATTTGGACTCGAATTTGGAAGATTATTTATTTGTATATAGGCGTATCCACTTACTTCAGAGGATTCTGAGGATTCCGTCTTCTCTTTGTAGTGTATTTAAGCGCACTTTAACGTGTAATGACACAAAGTACCCTTCCCTCTTTGCAAGACAAACCTAGATAAAAAAATAATCATGAATTTGTCATCTGTATTTGACATCTGTTACCATAATTACATATCCTTAAAGAGATTAGTTTCGCAGTGCATAAATATTCGAGTGATGAAATACACACAGCACTTATGCGCGTTTCTCGAACTTCAAATTTTTTTGACAAATTACTGATTAATAAAACAATAAATCTTAGTATGAAAAAACTATCCCTTTTTAATCCATTGAGTTTCCCATGCATAAACGGTTTAAGCAAAAGCTTAAGCCGAAGCTATCTACCCAGCTGGCTCTGCAAAATGGAATTTCGCCCGCGGGGAAAAATCATAGAAGCTATATATTGCTTTAAACAAAGGCATGCATGTTTGGTCGTCTTGTGGAAAAATTCGTAGAATTGTTTCGTATTCTGGTAGCAATTTAATTGTTTTTCACAGATCAACAAGCAGATCCATATAATATAGTTGTGAACTTTTCATTTTGAGTGGATTTTTTATTTAAAGAGAAAATTAAAGCCTTGAAAGACATAAGCCATTCTTATCCCGAACCTTCGGATAGTATGACGTAAAATGCATTAACAGGTTGTCAACGGCATATTTGTGGGAATTCAAATGTAATTTGTGTATGGTGCGATTCACTGATCTATATTAATTTAATAAATATGAGTCGATCCTTGCGCAAGTCGCCCTGAAACATCATGCATGGTACAAGAGAATATGCATGGGCCTAACGACTGACATGAAATCTGTTTGCACATGCGCGCGGAGACTGGGTAAAGGCCGATTCAAACTGCCCAACATTTGCGCAAAACGGTCCAAAACTGTCGCATGCAACACATAGGGAGCTTTAGATTTGACTACGAGCACGAGATTCGTCAAGCGAATTAACGCATGCTGTATGCTTACGCCATCCCGTACTGACGCGAAAAAGTCGTAGCCGTCGCCCATCTGAGCACGAAATTGTGGAGAAATCTCGTAGTCCTTACGACGACTTTAAAAAAAAAGAAAGTTGGCTTTTTTTTGGTTTACCAAAAATAATTTGTAGCACTTATATAGCGTTTATCCGGCGCAAATAATATATTATAGTACTAAATATCTGGCCTGTTTTTAATGTTAGGACTTATTTACACGTTTTCGAGAGGATTTTAGTCTGCAGGAGATTTAGTTTATGAAACTTTTTCTCTCGTTGTTGGTCTACTGCTATAAAAGCAACATTTGAATGGAAGCGAAAACGACTACGGTAATTTCCTCGCACGCGATCAAATCTCGTACTCGTAGTCAAATCTAAAGCTCCCTACAATTTCACCTACGGCAACGTAGTCGTACCGTGGGATGGAATCAGCCAGCTAAAGACCGATTTACACTACTGAACTTTTGCGGAAAACTGTCCCATGCAATCTGTTGTGTGCTTGAAATATACACAGTAGAATTCAAGTTATAAGCAGGTTACATGCAACAGTTTTAGGCAAAAGTCGTGTGGTGTAAATCTGCCTTAAGCTTCCGATAAGCCATAGCCGATATCTGATCAAAACGAAGTTTATAACTTTACTCTAGAGAAGTGTTTGTTTATTTATAATGTGTTAACTAGTTAAGTGGCAGCATTCTAAGTAAGGTATATTTTATGCATGAGGTTTTCAGGTTTTGATATTGGGTGTCTGTTGCATGAGGATTTGATATTGGGTGTCTTGTCCATGTCCATGAACGTGTATAAACATTTCGGAGATTCGTATTACGTTTCATACAGCATTTTCAAACAGACTGACATATGCCATCAATGCAATATGTTTACAAATGTTTAAATTGAATTTCCCCAAAGTATTTTGAATATTTATAATTAACGTAATAAGCAAACAGATGACAAAATAATCAAGTTTTTGCACGCCTTTCATCACTACACGTACTAAGTGTAAGTTTGCGGGCGGATTGCGATCTCACTTTAATTGAAAGAGTGAAGATGGTTGCCATTTATGGCCACGTAGAAAACAACTTCGGCTCTCGTAAATGAAAATTACCAGGTCGTATTAAAATTTCCTCTGTATAGCTAAACTTGACCTCGTTATATGTTCGACGATGTAAAGTCAGCATCGCCATCGGATCTTGTCCTTTGCGGGATCTTTTGTGTGCAATATGCAAATCTCAATTTAATAATTACAGAAGTAGGCTACATCGGTATTCTATTTGATCAACCACCTTGCGTGTTCGCAACCGTTACAATTTAAAAGAAGTCATGTTTTATATGATGTTGCGCGAACCTCAAATCGGTTGTTACATGTTGTTTAAATGGGCAAATGACGGCTAAATGTTGTCATTACATGCATTTGCAGGCAAACACAAGATCAACATGTTACATGTATAGATAAACAATTAGCCATCAAAATGACTATTTTTCCTTTTAGAGTCATCGACCACATGTGTTGCAGAGCCCCATTTCTAGTGAACCCACACTTTACACGATAAACTTCGAATCGGTATTGGCCACTTATATGAGGAAGTGTGAATAATCCACACATTGCTTCCAAATGTTTGCAAACACAAGGTCAATGACAAAAGATGTATTGGATCTCACCTCAGATTTTCGACTTTTTCTTTGCACCTTTTATATAAACGCTTTCCAGGAGCATGTAGATTACACAACAGTTTAGCGATCTCTGTTCGTTATTTTATAATGTTGTACAGTACGAGTCGAAATTATAACCGACGAGATTTAATTATTGATTAAAGAAATCCAAAACTAAGCACCGCGTGTGTTCCATTATTTCTCGCTTTCGGTGAATTCCTTAAAAAATTTCGGCATAGTTTGTGCTGTTAATTTGTCATTACGTATTTATGATTCAGGTGCTTTCGACATTATGTTGATGATTGCATAAACTGGTTGTCTTATTTCAATTTTCTTTTTTGTCGGTATTTTGTTATGATGATGAATATCACTCTATCTAACGATATTATTAATTGGCACGTCATGGAAATATTATATATAGAAAGTAACAATTAAAAATTTATGAATACGACAAAATTTTCATTGTAAACAAGTCACGGCATTATCTGCCATCTTAAAGGCCCAGAGGCCAAACCAGACCGGATGCGATTCGACAACGCAGCGCGATTTTTCGATTTTCACTGACCGATAACTTTGGTCCTGGTTCAAGTTTTTCAAATATTTAGAAGCGCTATAACATTTTGAGTTATTTGGTCCACATATCTTTTAAAATTTCCTTTCATTGGCTGTTTTATTAACTTTCAAAAATTGAAAAATCGCGACGCGTTGTCGAATCGCGTCCGGTGTGTCTCGGCTTTTAGTACAATATTAATTAAGGTATATATTATTTTATAATTATGCACTGTAAAATTTGACCCCAGAACGATTCTTTTGAGTTCATTTTAACCCTTTTTAATTTATGCACTTTTATGTTCCCTCTATTGCTCTAAATATATGCTTGCGGACCAGTCTTCTATTGTTACAAAAAGTAAAAATCAAATGTTCTCATTGTAGAAGCGATGCCAAGGGTTCAGTGTAATTGTGTTCGATCATAGGGTTTAGGTCGACGGTAGGTTGATGCTGGCTACGCTGTAATTATAAGGAGTTTAACTGATAATGAACTCCGAAAGTGTTACCGGTTTTTTTGTTGTCACCGTTTTTGATCGTTTTTGGTAACAGCAAAAAAAGTAAGCCTCTGCCTACTGTATCTCTAACAGACAGCCAATCAAAAACCATTCACCCAGGGCTTCTGCGCTTGTGATGTTAACCTTGACTTTCGTGTCCAGCGCTCATAAGATGCGCACAATGAAACTAATAGCTGAATCTGTGCTAATGTTTTCTGAGAACTGTGGGAACATAACATTTGCCCGCATGTATTGAAAAAAACGTTGAGAACAGATAATAAACAGATATATATTAATGAATTCTGGCAAGGAAATAGCTAATCCGCAATGTGGGCTAAAGTATTTTATGGCACATAAATCATAGTTTTTTGTTTTTGACACTAATATCTCTCGCATAGGTTGAAACAACAGATTAGAGAGGTCAAGATTGACGTTTACAGCAGATCGGTAACCGCTAACTTCAAGTCGTATTTTAAGATCAACTGTAAGCTGTTCGAAGTTAGGACAATTTGTGCATTAAAATAGAAGAATAAATTGGCTAAAAACTTGTCCAAACCTTCGGAAACTTGTAGAACTAATTATCTTTAAATGTGAATTGAAGTTTCCCGTATTGGCGCCATAATTATGTACTTCGGTTTACAGGTCTTTAAAACCACGCGTGAGTAGTATCAGTAGTATCCCATTGCACTACGCCCAAGTGGTGACATATAATTACCAAAATCAACATACTAATTTGTATTCTAGCTTTCAGTAAGGGAAGCCTCACATATCGATTTTGTCCACGAGAAACGTCATATGTTCGTTTCTCTGGAGACCCCCCCCCCCACCACCACCCCTTAGAAACGTCACACATAGTTATCGATATTTTGTTCTTATAGTACACACAAGGTAATTTTCTACTATTTTTTTCGGTCGGCTATTGGCGATGCTTCATCTTCTGCTGACATACTCTTTTTTATTAATATAAGTATGAACTTCAAAATTTCCAACGTTTCTCAAAACAACTTTTTTTGCATGAAATATTGATCATTTTAGCGCGTTTTTTTTTAAATGTGAGTGTTTTCAATGCAAGGAAGGCGTAATAATATAAATGTATAGGTATAGAACAGGTACGGTATTACGAATATATAGACTGCTGTTTGTATCAAATTGTTTTCTTTTTTATATTCTGCTAAGATAAAAACTATCGAATTTTTCCATGATGTTTACAGAGAAACGTCACAGCTGCCAACCCCCCCACCCCCAAACGAACATATGACGTTTCTCGTGGAAAAAATCGATATGTGAGGCTTCCCTAAAGACGAAATATCCGCAAATAAACAGAAAGTCAAGTCGAACGCTTTCATAGCCTAAGCAACCCGGCTATGGCTTCTAGCTATCTAGGCCAGTATTGCAGGTGTACTGCTCATAAGAGCCACATAAGTACACTGAGATTGACTGTCGTGAAACTCGTGGTCTTAGCTAGAAGCATGGCAAAATAACACGGATATACATTCGTGTGTGTTTATAAAGTAGAATTTGTTCCTCACAACTGACAGAATTTGCTCCTATTAATGTGGAGATTGCAGTCATAGAATGATCCGTGATATTTTTAGGTTAGGTGGGTGTATATATGCAGTGGCGACCGTGTAGGTCAAGAAGTACAGCTTTAAATGCCCCAAGGGTCCAAATATTTATATTGTCAGTCACACAGAAAGACCACATGCATGTGTAGTCTGCTGTTAACGAGCATAACTGGAACCGTGGCTATTCTGCATGGCCAGCAAGGTAATTGTTTGGTATATATACGTTACTGACCCCGAACACCCCATGTTTAGCCAGAATCTTCCAGTAAATCACCTTTGGGTGAGGTTGTCTCCTGGGAAAAGATTATTAAATTCAAATTCAACTCATTATGTCCTTATACGTGACCTTAAAAGTGGTAATTATGTAGGTATGTAAGTTATCCGAAAATGTGAAATGAATATTTTTGGACCATTGGTTTCCTAATTTTATTTTTTGATGAGTTAATCTATAGTGGTGACAACCCAAATAACTACAAGCGTTACATAGTTTTCATAAAGAGATAAACGTGGCTTGTGTCATGCACTCTTCATAGACTTCATAAAGAAACAATGAGAAACAATAGAATTTCGTGTGATGTGCCAAGGGTTGCCTGCCCAAACGTATCTGACTAATAATAAATACTGCTTATACAACAAATAACCTTAAAATCATCATTTCATATCTTTAAGTATATAAAATTTGAATATTGAAATTTGAATATTCAGTAACAATTAGCCAGAGCATCAAATTAATTTGAAAATAAAAAATTGTAGTTCTGTGGAGCAAAGGAAAATTAATGTTTAAAAGTATTAAAATACATATGGCTGTGGCACTGAACAATACTTGTCCTGGGTCAACAAGGTTGGACCTGTACCAACACGTATTTTGAACGACAAAATTAAGCTGTTCAACTGCTATTCATGCACCGTTTGGGAATACCCAAAAGAACTAACAAGTAAGCGGTCTCTGTTGACGCGGGACAATACATCTTTGATTCAGAAACGAGTTATCATAGAAATCAAATCTTGTTGATCCTTATACGACTTTAAATTCACGAGCCGTATAAAAATAGCTTGCGCCGTTGCGAAGAGCTTGATAATTAAAATACATTTACATATAAACTCATTTTTCACACATTTTAATTCACGCATCTTACCTCACCATCAGAAGCAGGAAGTATGCCAAGGATAGTCAAGCTGTCTGCTTACATAAATGTTTCACAATTCTTCGATGTATTCCAGTGTGATGCCGACTACTGCGCGATGTGAAATTAATACCGCAGTTTCATCTGATATCTAAATATATAGAAAGGTGATAAAATAATCATTCATGACTTGCTCAAACAGGAATGCCGTAATACATGTGAAATATCAATTACGCGTTTGATCAGCTGCGCGTGGGGATGTATTTTGGAGAAAAATGATTAAAGCGTAGCCGTAGGCTCATCTCATTTCCATTTACACCAGAAATCTGTGGAATAAGAGGGTTTCAACTACTTGAAAAATACAACTATACAAATAAAACTTCGACGTCCCTTTAGTTCGAAATGTCGAAGTTTGGCTTGCCGGTATTTTCAGGCTGTTGCAGGGGCCGCGGAACCGGGGGGCAATGGGGCACATATGCCCCCTCACTTTTTCAAAAGTGAAAAAAGTGCCCTGTTTTCTGGGTTAAAGTGCTTCATTTAAAGAACGAAAAAAGTATTTCTTGAATGAACGCCCTCTTTTGCTGGAATGAAAGTGCCCTTTTCGCAGTAGTAAAGACTCCGTAAAGGCCATTTCTGACGCTATAAAGACTCCATATTTTCAAAAATTTTCGTTCGGCTCGCAATCAACATAAAATCGTTTGATCTTGGTCATATACAAAAGTGCCCCTTTTGGTCAATGCCCCAGCACTTTCGAAACGCTTCCGCGGCCTCTGAACCGTTGAATCCCTCGCAGCTTTCTGGTGTTATTGTATCATACTGGCACAGACCGTTTGATTTCCATTTTAGATGCAGCTGTCATGAAGAAGTCGTGGTCATTCATTTTAGGAATGAGGAAGATAGCGCGCTCTTCAGTGAAGTTTAGGATAGTCACTCAGATTGTCAAGTGGCTGTCGTAAACTTAAAAGCGCGGTATACTAATGCGACATGTCTGAATAGTTAAGGCGTTTACTCAGAGAGTTTTTTGTGTTTTTTTTATTTCCAAGAAATTCTTGCTTCTGAGATAAAAATAGAAGGCGTAGGTCTAGGCTGGTGTGGCTTGCCAAATCTGTAGTGTTTTTCGTGCGTTCACATGGGAGCGAATGGCTGGAACCGTGCTCAAATTTCACGCACACGCGCGACGCACGAACCTGGCGCTGACCACAGACCCACGGCTGACCACAGACGCTCCTCAAACATAGCTGACCGTGTGAATTTCTAGGTGAACAGATGGAACAAGACGAATTTGTGTATGATTCCTAATCACGTCTCTTGTGAACATGGCTTAAGGATCGAGTCAAACTAGGATAAGAGATTTTAAACTCTCGCTCGTCAGTTTGACCCGCCAACTCTCATCGACTCTCATCAACTCTTATCAACTTTGAGTTGGGTGGAAATTTGATGAGCGTCGATGAGAGGTTTCGCTATGCGGTAATATCCAGCACGGTTAATAGTGTATCCAGTCAACTCTCATGTAACTCTTGTTCTCGTCAGTTTGACTGGGGCAGGAGAGTTGAGAAATCTCGTCGCAAAAAGAGCCCAGATCAAACGAAGATGGGAGTGTACTACTGTTCTTAATGCTTTCCCAACACTATCATGTATTCTATTTAAGTTTAAATATAGTTGGAACATTCAACAAACCTTAATTTTGTTAATCTAGAGCTTCAGATGACCCCCGTGACAATTCGCGACTGCCGAATCTCATCAACTCTCGTTCTTCTTTTGACCAGCTGGGGCTCCTCTAAAAAATCCCAGAAAAACCCTCTCCATTCACTCTGCGCATTACATTCATTTGGTCGTCCAGGACTTCGAGAACGCCGGGAGATGACAAATGAAACATGAAATGACGTGCTTGTTGACGTCACTAGAGTATTTTTCTCACTCATATATATCAACGTCGCGGTTTGTGAGGCGTAAAAAATATCAGTGTTTTTGGTCAGCGCGCGCGCGTTATTTTGAACTGTGTGCGTCAACAAGGTTTTTTTCTCAAATTATTATAATATAACAATTTGTTATCATATGCCCGCAAATTTGGCGACAGTTTAATATTAAAAGCATAACAATAACTATATACACTTTAACTATATATACGCGTCAATTTTGGTGAACACTCTGACCGCAAACAGAATATTTTTGCGCCTAAATCTCCCCATCAAGAGTATAATTACGAACGCTTGCTGAACAGGCTTTCAAGTTTCTTATAGTTTAACAACACAGCAACTAAATACTTTGATTCGAAATATTGAATTTCTATCTATTCACTCATGCAAGCAGATTATTGAAATATATCCTGTTACTTTCCTATTCACAAACTAGAAGAATCTCGAGAAGGAATAGTAACTATGTATGCGTGTTATCCACTGTTGTAAATTGGTTACAAAAACTGTTATTTGTCAGCATTATGCCTACAAATACACCTTTCCCACAATTGTAAAAATGGCTTTAAATTAGGATACTAACGATAGATAATTCTATGGCTATTATCTCAGAAAAATGCCACATAGTCTAATCTAAGTGTGAACACTTATTTTGTACTATTACAAACCTCGTGAATGCGGTGAAACTCAGTTCCTCATTCAAAAGCATACAGCAGCTTGCCACATTAGAGACTGAACAGTAACCGTGCACTAGATGCCAGAGTTTACGTTTCTACTAACAATTTAGGCTTTTAGGCCAAATCCGGTCATACGTCTTCGTGTCTATGTTTGGTGAGATCGTATCTTGAGTATTAATTGACAAACAGGTTAAAAAATAATTCCGCGCACAAGCAATATTAATTAAAGTACCTGTGTTTGTGGCTGTTTACTTGTTATAGCTTTACGACGAAATGAAAGCGGGATGATATATTTTGATGTACTGAAATAAGTTACCAGAAGAGAATTAGAGGAGTTTTCAATGGAAAAATATTACGGACACTCTTGCTGAATCATAAACAGTGACTTATTTCAATCGTCCCGCCTTCCACCCCATCCCGCCATAGTGGGATCATGTAAACAGCCTCTAAACTGTTAAACAAAGCACTCTAATTAATATTACGCACGATAACATTTTTAATTTTGAATCCGAGATAAGATAAGAATAATTGCTTATCGGACATTTTGGCGCGCAGATAATAATAAATTCAAGCCGCTGATTTGTAATGCGAGATTTTGAAGCTGTCATGTTTCTCTTAACTTCCACGATATAAACTTTGAAACTGTTAACTCTGTAAAAGCTTGCTGATCATAATTCAAGCAGCTGCACTGTGCACGCAGTCAGTGCAATTTGCCGAATCTAATTTGAGCATCTAAAACAGCCCAAACTGCTGTGAATGTTTGCATCTATAATTAGAACAACAGACATATTCTAATTGAAATTACAACAAACTTAGACGTATTCCGATTGAAATTAGAACACACTTAGACATATTCTGCTCGGAATTAGAACAAACTTAAGACGTATAACGTATTCTGATCGAAATTAGAACAAAGGTTTATTCGGATTCGAATCTAGTTATAGAACAAACTCAGTTGGGTTCAGTTTGATTGGAATTAAAACAAACTCAGGTGTCTTCTTATTAAAGGATTCAATGCATATATAATTAGGGTTACGAAGACCTCTTTCGACTTGTATAATGATTGAGCATGAGCCGCAACTCAGTAGCTTTTTCCAGTTATCCCCAAAATACCTGTTTGTTTCAGGTGTAAATTGCAGCAATTCAGGTGTATTCTAATTAGATTGAAGCACTTCAGAGGGGAATCTTATGATGAGTGAATGAGAGCAATATAGGTCTAGCTTTTTCCGCAAGAATCAGTCAGCATGATGACTACACTGAGATGCACCCATCTTGTTTGAATAACCTCAAGAACAAAAACAAATATTGAAGACTGTTCTGTTTGGACACTACGTCCACGTATAGAGTATGTATTATATATTATATATTAGCATGTAAATCAGAGCGGACTTGATTTGGAATCACAGACCTTTTTTGGAATCATTCCTTTTTTGGAATCACAGTTTCCGGTTTCTTCTGAAAACATATGTGACTTTCTAACTGATTCTTCCCCGTATATGAATCTGGTACTAAACATTTCGACTTTCGACAAGTCGTTTGCCCTAGTATAAACGAAGTCTTGCCTTTCTAACCGTGCTTTACTTTACCAGGGACTGCATGGACATGTTAAACGAAATGGAAGAACTAAATCTCAATTATCTCATATAATACTATAATCACTGTAATGCTCACATGTGCTCAGAAAGTCCTCCACAGATTCTGAAGTTGAACCACTTCCCCTACAGCATGCTTTCCTTGTCTACTTGCCAGCAAAAAAAGCGATATTATTTCTTAGGTCTATAACAGATTTGAAAATCTGCCCTTAGTTTATTATTAATGCATTCAAAATGATGAACTTTGCATAAGCCATTCAGAATATAAGCAGCCCCTTGACAGATATTTAGTATGAATATTTATAACTTTATATAGATATCGTTCCCGAATTATATTGCACGCGCCAGCAAATTGAAATCGGGGATATACAATGAGATCCTGGATAAACATAATCTGTCAAGATATGATGGGGTGAACTTGAAAGATGTTATTTGCACTTTACTTTAACTATATAGAATGCTGGGTTTGCTGGACAATCCAAGTGAGTATATATATATATATATATATATAGATAAAGATAAAATAAACTTGGTTTACTTCATAAGATTTATTCACTACAAACTTGTTTCGTATGACAAGCCAAACTTGTTTCGAAACAAGTTTGTAGTGAATAAATCTTATGAAGTAAACCAAGTTTATTTTATCTTTATCTATATTAGCTCTATACTTCGGTATATCGAGCACTCTACTCATATATGATTCTAAATACATATTTGGTATATATATATATATATATATATATATATATATATATATATATATATATATATATATATATATATATATATATATATATATATATATATATATATATATATATATATATATATATATATATATATATATATATATATAAACAATTTAAGACTGAGGTCTTAATATTAATAAAGCCTGGTTCCCATATGGTCGTACAAACCGAGTTACGATCTTTCTCAACGGCCAGTTTATACCTGTAAACCACATATAAATCATAAATATTCCGCTCTATAGTAGTCACTCCGCGTATTCACAGTTCTAAAATGTTGATTTTCGGCTGATCCGATGAGAAAGATCGTGGGCCGTGACTCAATCTTCACGACCGGCGTTATGGAAACCATATTATAATGCCCACTTGGATCAGTATCCACCAAACCCAGCATTCAAGATATGATGGTCTGGAAGATCAGAAAATTTCAAAGCTACACTAGTAGATCATTTTTGATGTTGAACTGTACCTCACCGAACACGTACAAATTTTTTATCTCAACTTCGTTAAATATTATTCATCGTGGTTGCACGTTTCACTGCCGGTCTCAGCTATCGCTATCAGTAGATTACTTCACTACGAAAGCAGTGTCAGTGAGCTCAGTCACCGTACCTGTGCATAAACTCGGACAAAAACATAACAGAATAGACTACTTTCATGTTGTCCATCTTAATAAGCGTTCTTGGCCTCGTTCCCGTTATAAAATGATTTTCGATTTCAGTCACAAAAACGAGGCCAATATTCAAGATGGTTTAATCACAGTTTATAGACTATAAACTGTGGTTTAATAGGACGCACCGACTAAAGAATACTTTAATTTTAATAATCCTTCTGAGTTATGAAAGTAGACTATGACTTCAGCGCTATTGTCTGTATTGATTTCACCGGATGGTAGTGAGTTTATCACGGACATCAATCGAAAATTGGTGTAACTAATTTTGGCGGCATCATATAGCGCTCGTGTAAGAAAGCAAAAAAGCTTTAAAAATCTTACGTTCTGTCATGTGTGTTGAAGATTACCACAAACTGATACAAACACAGTTTTTAGTCCAGTCCCCCTCGGCAATCTGACGTCCTTGTTGACAAAAACGTCGCTCGTTTAAGCTCCCTAATGAATTTCTTCCATAGATTTCTTCAACCTTCGTGAAAATGCTTGAAATGAGCCATCATGCTACCGATGTCGATATGAACTCGCCGGCAAATTCAAGCGAGATCTCGGCAAGGGGGCCAGCTCGCTTTCTCATATGAATACAATGCAAAATTTTTATAGAAAAATAACTATAGGCGGCGAAATCATCGGTAAGTGGGACGTCCCGGTAAGCGGGATCATATGAACAGGCCCGATCTTTTTATTCATTGCGAGAGCCATAGGTTGGCGGGATGACTAAAATTTTACATATGAACACGTCAGCCCGCTTACCGAGTGAAGTCAAACAAGTCTTGCCGTTTAATTTAACTTACATTTTTTACTTTATAGTTTAATTAATGTTTGTTTTGTAAACAAATATTTAATATGCAGCTAAAGCAATAGTTTTTCTTGTAAATAAACGAAGAAAGTTTTGCACCCGCTAATTATAGAACTACCGTGATTGTCATTGTCATTTCATCTCGGCAAGTGGGATAAAACACTTCATATCATATGAACGCACATAAATATTCGATGAACAGCCCCTTAAATTTATGAATTCTAAAGTCTAATTTGGGTTATAGCAATCAACGAACAATTTCACTGAAAGCTTGAACATTTCTTTATCCTGTGGTAGCGCCAGTCTTCGTACAATACAAACAAAGTAAATAGGAACATGCAGAGTCTCATTGAAAAGAGCAACATCTACAACACATTAATGGTAAGGCCTGTTTTAAAACGTCGAATTTAATTCGCTGAATTTAATGCTCCTGAATTTTGAAATGGCCGCGTTTGAAACGGGTTTTATTCGGCGCAACGCAAATAAAGCTATACAATATTGGACACTGCATGTCTGAGGATTCGACGGATTTTGTCGCATAATTGACTTAGAATGAGCCCGAAATCCCCGCAAGTAA